TCAAGCAACTGCCCACTCATGTTTTCTTGCATATGCAGTAGAAAATAGACAGACTCCAGAGTTAAATATTTGACCTTAAACCGATTTCCTAGTATTGCAGAATGGTTTACAGGAGACATTTTGGCCTGATCACAGTGAAAAGAAATACTTCAAAGACAAAGTCAGTTTTGGCAACAAATACTGTGTGTCAGTAAAAGGCATCATGCATGGCATTGTTCATACCTAGAATTTCTCTAGAAACACTGACACATACACCTTGTGCTGCCAGTGTTTATCTGGAAGTAGAGAGAAAACCTTTTGGCAGGCAGTCAGTTGGAAAAGTTTTGAATGTTATTTGATTGGCAAACTTTATGGGAGATTTTACAGAGCAAACGTGTTGATTACATCCTACTTTTCTAATTGCCAAGGGACATTTCCCAAAAATCTTCACTAAAGCCCTTCATAGACATTAAAGGGCTGCCAGGTGTGTAGGCCAGATCCAACCCCTTACTTTTTTTTCAGATTAGTGCTTGAAGATGCAAGCTCCGATATCATGAGCTTAAACCTATAGCAGAACCTGCATCCCCAATGCTAATATATATCAGTAAAAAATATTAGTGCAATGTAAAGTGACTAAATGCAGCTGAATACAATTTTCCCCTCAGATCAGTCAGCTAAAGGGTATCAGCCGTGTCTAATGGTGCCTAGAGGCGTAAAATCGTTAAGCAGCATGGCTGAGAAAGGGTTGCTCCATTGCTTCGCCATAGAGTGAAGCCATCCTTAGACAGAAATTGATTTACTGGCCACATCACCACATGAAAATAAAGGGGAAAAAAGCCTATAAAAAGTAAACCTAATGCAGCCACCTGATTTAAGGCTTGGTGAGCTGCAATATAATTTTTTTGAGGGGATTTAGATACACTTTAACTGCACTGCAAGGTACATAGCTATCTTGAAGTGTTTATTTTCACTGTCTTGAAGTTGGAGCATGACAGGTTACACCAGAAATTAATTAGACAACATTTGTGATTGATGACAAGTTCATTGTATAAGAGCCCTATAATAAAAGCGATATGGCATTATGCAGACTACAACTGATAAACTTTGAAAATGCAAGTTGCCTGTCTGTTATATTGTTCCCTTTGCTTTAATACTCTTGGAATCAGTGACCTGGAACTCATATTGAGAATAAAAGTTCTGATTTCACTCTGATTACTTGTATTGTATAGTTATTTTGGGTCTTGGATTTAAAGCAGAGCTACATTTTTTTTTTTTTTAAAAAGGCAAAGCCCCCGAAATTGCTGGCTACAAAATAGTGCATTCATGTAAAAATGTGCGTCTTGTGGCTTATCCAATAGTTTTCCCAGCTTTTGTGAGGCATAGCAGCAGTTCTTAAGATTCTATATATCCTTTTGGTTTCAGCTATTCTGGCTGCATAGCTTAGAGGTAATAGACTTTCCACACCTCACCTTTAGTATGCCACTATGCTCTTGTATTTGCATGAGGGGCAGAGACCATCAATGCAAAGAACATTGTGGCTCCTCCCAACCCCACCATGTGTTCTCCCTTCTTATTCAACTGCCCTATTACATGCCCAGTTATTGGCAAACAATCAAAAAAAGAAATAATTGTACAGAGAATACCTGTGAGGGAGTGATTCCCCCAGATGGTAGCCTCCCTTCCTCTCCACCCACTAATGCTGATGAACAAACTAGACAAGATGGCATATGGATAATATGAAATATAGATAATGCAAAAGCTAAAACAGTATGCATCCACACACAATTCAGAGTGACATTAAAGGACTGCAAGGTGTGTATGTTTACATAGGAAAAAACTACTTTAGTCCTGTTTTAAAGTCATGGGATCAGCATGGCAGCAAGGTAGCTTGTACTTTAAGAAAGAAGTCAGTACTTTCAGTCATTTTGGTGTCACCCCACCGATGATGTCACCCGGGTGCCCCCCTTGGGACGCCACTGCTATACGCTATTTGAATTTCACCTGATTTCTGCTGAATCAGCCAAAATTCAAGCTGTGGGTGGCTCCTTCACTACCCACAATGTTTGAAAAATCAAAGGTGCTAGGTGGAAAATTGTTGGCCAAACAGTGACTGCATCCAATTAGTACTGTTTGGGTATTCAGACAGTCGCCAACTGCGGCCAGTAGGGTAGATTCCTCCATCCACACTGTTGGAGAAGTCTATTAGATTTCTCTCTTTCATCCCTTATTCACGCTAGCTAAACATCTAGGCATGTATCACTAGCCTTATGAATCCTGAGCCAGGAAAAACAGAATTAAATAAGGAATTGGAGGTAAATAGTTACTGAAATGAATGATAATGGTTCCTTATTACAGTTTCCTGGGAAAGCCACTGTGGCTTCTTAAACTCTTTAGAGGAAAAAAAACAAGTTGTCAGTATCTGCCATGGTTTGTTCATATATTATCTCATCTATTGCACCTAAAAAAACTCAGCTTATCTAATTACAGTTTTGGGTAGAGTTGGGAATGGTTGAACCTTCTGTCAGGCTTTTATTGCTGTCCGCGATAACTTCCCCTTCCTGTTCTAGTGACTTTTTTTTTTTGGTAGAGTAGGGGAAAGCTTAAACCCCAGTCAACTTTATATTTCTGTGTTACGTTTTTTCCCCTCAATTTCTGTCTGGTGAAAACTTTGTCTGAAGGGGAATCTTGCCAACAATGCCTCAAATAGCAAAAAAAGGTTTTGACTGGAGATATACTTTGTGTGAATACAATACATTGTGAGAGTTACCACATATTTAACTTTCTATAAAAAATACTACAAAGTACCGTTTTTATTTAAAATGGACTTGCAGACATGATAAAGTGACTTTAGTGCTGTAAGAAAAGGAAAAAAAAGAAACAAATCTTTAGCAATCACTTGGTTTTATGCAAACAGGATAATTCAGTAATTTTGAAACCCTATATGGAAAAATCCCAAAGTAACACATTGAATGAAATAATACACAATGACTGTCCATTTCTTTTTTATATTAAAATTGTGCTAATTGCAGCAAGTATTGTTAGTGACGTATGTTTAAATACAAGTTTTTATATTCCTACATAAACTGCTCTTTAGATTCCTTATCTGCAAAACCCAGGCATTTTAAATGAAGCATACCTATATGTTTATATTTTTGTTTTCTCTTAGCTTTGTTATCCTTAAAAATATCACATCAGCATATTGCATTAATACAATAAAATAGAAATTGTGCTTTGATTTTTATAAATCTCATAAATGTAACACAATGTAAAACTGTGAAATTAGACATTACATTTGTTTTTATCCCTGTGAATGTCATTGTATGAGCTTATACCCAAAACATGGAAACAATGTGCAGTGTTGTTATGTTGATATCTACATAGTTTGTTCTCTTGATGAGAGATACTAGTGTTTGTACTTTAAACAAAGACAGTGTGCTTGTAAAACAATGCAACAGATACTTTTGTATCATGTTACAAGCATTGCGCAGAAACCCTGCGTATTCATCTTGTCAAAATATAATTTTGTAATAAGAATCTGTATTTTTTAGCTTATAGATTGCATGCAATTAATGGTTTTAGAATTATATGGTGAATTATTTAGGGGTTTTGTCATTCAAGTGATAAGCCATGAGTACATACTGTAACACCTAAACGGCTTTTTCACTCTGAAATTTTTTTTTACAATTAAATTGTGATTATCTGGTGCTGTAGATGGATAGATATATTTACACACACACAAATGTAATGCAAAGTATTTCCCACCACACTATGGGTTAGACACTAAATGCAAGAGTTCATCTTAAAAATACATTCAAATATCTTAACAATTAACACAAAATTAGCTTATGTGTGTATCACTCAGCTGTAGATCCTCAAATCATCTCTGAATTGGTGTTGACACTGTCTTTCCTTCGAGAGGGTGGCTCTTTTTGTTCCCTATTGGGCCTGTGTGTGGTGTAAAGTACTCACCACTCCAGCCTCACTCCTGTGATGGACTACAATCTCATGTTTAGTTTACTAATTCGTGTTGAGATTGTAGTCCATCATGGGAGTGAGCTTGGCGTGGTGGCTACTTTCCAACACAGGGACCATGTGGAACAAAGGAAGCCACCCTCCAGAAGGAAGGACAGTGTCGGCATGAATTCAAAGATGATTTGAGGATCTACAGGCGAGTAATACACAAACTACATTGATGCTAATAGTTAAGGTACTTAAATGCATTTTTAAGGTTTAACTCCTGAATTTTGTTGCACCTTAAGAAAGAGCAGGATGCTTGGAATCTTGCTTTGCCTAATCCTTGGCCAGAGCTCTCGATTTGACTCCTTCACTTCTCTGACTTGTTAATGTGTGTAAATGTTAGCTTGAGCTACTGAACTCTGTAATCAATTTGCTTTTACAACAAATGTCCAAAGGAAACCAAGAAAAACATAAAAAGGCCTCAAGCTCTGGTGAGCCATCTAAAATTGCTGCTGGGATTTAATGTTTTAAGGCTTAATAAACTAAGGGCTTATTTATGCATAGCTGAAAGTTAATAAATGAACATGTGAAAAGCACACTAGAGCTCCATCTGTTGGCTGGATAGAGGACTCCAGAATATTCATAGGCAAAATGTCAAATTTACCTAACTAAAAAAGTCCTAATAAATCATCATGAATTCAGAGCGTATGTGCCAAACATTATACTTTCTATTTAACATACCACAAGAGGGAATATTTAGGGAACTCCAGCATGTCAAACAACTGAAAATTGGTAGGTATAATGTTGTCATCCTCATGAACTACTCCTGTCTCTATTCTATGCTGGTAATTAAGTGAAACTTTAATAAAACAAATTTGATGTTATTTGAGAGCAAATCTCCATACTCAAATGCAGACCTAGTATCATATTTGCCACAGCTTAAATAGTCTTCATCTAGGGACCAATTATTCACAACCTCAATTGTAGAAGATGACGAAATCTGCAGGTTTAACTTCTTTACTTGTGTTCTTTTGGAAGCTTAATATTTGATACTCTTGTTCCAGCTCTTTCCACATCTCAAGCAGAATTTGTTGCATTGAAGAAGCAGAGTGAAGGCCTTACAAGAGAGTATGATCGTCTTCTGAAGGAGCATGAGCAGCTACAGGTCTGTACTGTGCTTGGGTTTCAGGATGCCATTTTCTTGTAAGGAGCTGGTCCTCATGTATGAGTTCTTAAAGTGGACTTGTTAGTCCTGTAATTGCACTTCCTTATGTGTGGAGAAAACAGGTTTCCTGTCTTCTGTGGGGGTTACTTAAGGATTGTCAAGTGTAAATTAACTTTCTGGGGAATTCAGACTGCATAGTACATGTTTATACCTCATAAAAGCTTGTTCAGTTCTGGGTTTTACTTTCCCCTGTAGACGCAACATTTGTATTTAGCCTGTGCTGGTTATTGAAGTAAATGTAAAAGTTGTAAATATATAAAATCTTAATTTTGTAGATAAATGGATTTCATATGTATACTTATTGAATTGCTGGTATGTATTCAAGCACTTCCTTCTTATCTGACAGCGCAGGAAGGGGGGAAAGGGGGGGGGGGTTGAGTAATGCTATGACCGACCTCATGGAAAACTACACTTATTGAGGTTCAATTTGTACTGTGATCAGTATAGTTAGGGACAAATCATTATGGCCTTACATAACAAGTGTAATGATTGCAGAGTGCCAATCGGATATGTTATTGCAGTTCTTTTACTGCACTCTCATAACCACTGGCCTACCAGACTATTCTGAAGTAGTAACCAACGAATGGAGCCAGGTCTCCAGATATGTATATATATATCCGATTTAAACAAAGCTGAACCAGAGCTCATCACTAAATACAACATTTTGGTGTTTTCTTTTCTCCAGTTCAGCTACGTCGTTACTCCACACAAATATTATCTGCTATGTGCATAATATAACAGCTGTGAACAGCTGATAACAAGTATAAAACTTTAAAAAAGTCCCAAATTAGAAAATTGTGATATGATTTAAAATTGGATCCAATGAACACTTCAAGCAAATGTCTCCATTTGGTGCATCAGTTGGTGATAGTCCTAAGGTTAGGGCAGACCTTGTCAGAGTGTTACTATCACTTCTCCATACTCCATACACAGAGAGAGTGTTACTATCACTTCTCTCTGTGTATGGAGAAGTGATAGTAACACTCTGACAAGGTCTGACAAGGAATACTTGTTATCAGCTGTTCACAGAAATGCTTTGACACTAATCACTTGATCACTTTATTATTGAAAAACACAAGAGTGTAAATATTATAATTATCTGCTATGGTTTGGTGTCAGATGTAAATGCCTCATTGTGGCAGAAGACTGAAAACCTGCATTTAATTCAGACATTTGTTATTCTTCTATAAATTTCCAAATATTCTTTGGCATAAGGTCATTCTTACCAGCAATCAAACAGCTCTTTGAACCTGACATGGTCTGGGCCGGCCTGACGTGTACTTGATTTTCTGGTATTTATGACCTTGTTTACCTATAGTTTGACCAATTGATAAACTCCTAATATATTTGTTATAACTCTTTGGCCATTCTTACTATATAACTTGCGGTAAATCTGACATGTCAACAATGTGACTCTTCTCAAATGCAATATGTATAGCCTTCCTCAGTCAGGGTTTCATGGCAGGTGGTGGTAGGTGCAAGCAAATCCACTAATGGGTGGATAGGTACGTGGGGATGAGGGAGCTTGGCCAACTCCTCCACCCACTCCTTCACACACACCAGGCTAATATATCTATGCTGCTACCTGTGAATGGGACTTTGTATGGAAGCAAACATCTTCATCTAAGATGCTTTCTTTATTATGTACTTTATTTCTTTATTTCTACAGAATATCAAAGAAGAACAACATGATAAGAAGGACCTGTAACTGATTTATCAACTCTCTATCCAAGAGGTCATAAGGCTGTGAAAAGCTCTTCTACAATCTTGCATTATTTTTGGCACTCTAAGGAAATATGCAATAAGAAATGCAAAGGGTTTAGGTGTCTTTTGTGTGATTTAGGAAAACAGTCATTGTTAATACCAAATGTCTATTTTGTCTCTATCACTAAGTTTAATTGTATTGCTGAAAATATACTTCTAATGTTCACAGAACAACCGTCATTTAGAAATGTCTAATATAAAGGAAACTTGTACTGAAAGAAATACAGAGGCTGTTATTGCTAACTTCTTTTTGAAAATCTTAGTTCAGTGGCTGACTCTGACCTCAATACTTGTTTATTCACTGACCTAAAACAAGCAGGTGAAGTCTTTGTAAAGTCAGATATGCTGATCTGCATACTTGTTCCAGGCCAGTGATTTAAAAATTATTCAAAGTCTTTGGATTAACATAAAAATCAGGCAAATTACATTTTCAGAAGAAGAATTCAGCAATAGCATGTTTTTTTTGTCAGTATGGTTTTCTGAGAAAAATAAAAAGCAACACATCTGTGTAGAGTAAGGTGCCACAATACCTTTCAGTGTGGGTGGAGTTGGGAATAGACACACACTGTGGTGGTCCTTAACAGTTTTGGGGATGTCTTTTTGAATTTTATATTACACATATTTATGCTGTGAAGACATTTGTTTAGTTTTACTAGTAGATATAGGTTTTGATGGTAAGAGTTTGCATGTCTGGATTGTGTTTGTTTGCTGAAGTCCTAAAATGTGTTCAATGAGGAAGAAATATTTTAAGCACCATCACCTAGGCTTCTTAGCACATTCAGTAAAAGAACATAATGTTAAAGCAGGTTTCCACCATTGGCCATAAAATAGAATTTCCTTCACTTGCTTAGAGATTGTGGCCAGCAGAGCTACGTAGTGAATATTCTATTTGATTTGATTTTCCCATTAAGCAGATCTAAAGCAACTCAGCTCTGACTATGGATACCCCCACCAGCTATAATCACTTAGCTCATAGCTGAAGGTAGAAAGCTCTAACAGTAAAGGAAACTTATTTTCCCTGTGATTTTAGAAATATAGGGTATGGCCATGCTGATATTGGTTTAGAACATTCTAGTCTCTTGGCTGTTAGTCCTGTCTGTCACTTCATTATGTATAATGGAAATCCAGCCACAGACAGCTATACAAATTCATGAAAGGAAAAAAGTTAACCTCTTGTAAGGTGTGTTAAATGCTCAGCTTGGTCCTGTTTACAGTATACATTTTTAATTTGTATCTGCCAGATAATGTAGCCAGCACTGTTAATCTATTGCTGTGATTTATGAGAGCTTTGTGTTTCATACAGTGAAGGGATCTTGTCATTTACCTGCTCTTTCCTCCCCCCTTGTCCATTCACAGAGCACCTTGTATTCTGTTTACAGTATACAAGGTATTATATGACTGGACAAGAGCCGCGGCTCTCATACAGTGAATGGATCCTGTGGTTTATCTGCCTCTCCTCTCTCCTTGTCCATTTACAGAGCGTCTTGTGTTCTGTTCACAAATACAAGGTGTTCTGTGAATGATCACGGAATATAAAAATGCATAGGTCGGCTCTGTTTACAAGATAATTAATTTGTTTGTACCCACCAGATAATACAGCCAGTGCTGTGACTCCCCTACATGGAAGAGATCCTTTTGTTTCCCACTCTTTCCTAGTATGCAGGAGGCACTTTGTGAATAGCCAAGGGGGACAGGTAGAGCGGATAAAGGATAGGTTTTGTTCTCTGTATGCTGAAGCGCCAAAGTACATTACTGGCCATATTATCCAGCAGGTACAAATTAATTATCCAGTGAATAGAACTGAGTTAAGCATTTTAACACAATTCAAAAGATGTAATTTCCCCCCCTTTTTCTTTGTTATAGTTTTATAGGACTGGAGTTATGCTTTATTAATAAACAAACATGTAGGTCAAGGCTTCTGAGCAGTGACTTTTTATTATTACTACAGGTATTTACATACATAATTCATATTAGCACTGTGAGTGCTTTCATACTATTCATTCACATCAGAACTTCCAACCTAAAGTCCCTATCATATATGCACACACACACATTAGGGCCAAATTACCATGTCTTTGGAATGTGGGAGGAAATCTGAGCAAACTTCTTGCAGATAGTGTACTGGCTTAACCTGGATTTGAACCAGAAACCTCCATGCTGCATGCTACTAACCACTGAGCTACAGAGGTGCCCAGTTACTGAATACTGAAACCAGAGAATGTACATGCTAGGAATTTAGCCAGGAAACAAGATGAAAAAGGTCAGATGTGGCCATGTTTCTTCTGATGATTGGTAAAGCATTATTTTGTTTTTGTAAGAAAATTAGCTTCAGACTCTTTTAGCCATATAGCGGGCATATGTTTCAGTTTAATGGTTGAAATCTTAAGTTAAAAAGCCACTGCAATTAAATACATAAGAAATTTAGATACATAGAGGATTGCACCAAGCTTGTTAATAAGCTATCAGCCTTTCCAGACTGAGGAAGGGAGGAGTGAAGACATGTCAACATTGTCTTTCAAAGTAATAACTTTTAAAATAGCTCTGCTAAACACTAGATGAGTCTAAAATGTCCATATGATAGTGTGACATAATTGTTAGGAAGATGTCAGCTTTTTATATGACAACACATTTGCTCTAAGCCTATGCAGGGAAATGTGGAGGCTGTAATCTTTACATGTGTGTGGGTCCTCTTCTTCCAAATGTCTCAGCTTAGTATGCCTGAACCAAGGGAAAAATGCTCAGTTCCCAGATTGCAAAGCATAATTTCTTTACTCTGCTAGCTGTAAGTTATGTTGTTCATCGACACGATGTAGTGAAGTGGCGTGGGGGCAGGCATTGACACAGCAAAGGGTTTCTAGTAATGAGTTGATGGGTTTTCCTCTTTTTTTTAATGGATTAGAGCTCTTCTTTAAACGGGAGACTGTTGTGTCATCCATAACCCCTTTCTAAACTTCTATTGTGGTAATCATAGAGTCACTACATAGAGTCAATGACCAGGAACAAAATGCAACTGGGCAAGCTAGACGTTTTCATCTGCATACTTTTTAATGAATTGGTACTTTAACGGATTGGTACTTGTTTGGGCTTGGAGACTCACCACATACGGAAGGAGGAGGATCAGCGCAATAGTCACACAACTTCCAGGGCTCAGAAATGTCAGCTCTTAAGATAGGTTGCTTCTAAATATTTTATATTCTTTGATACATTTCAAAGATTCTGTATGTACTGTGCTTTGGGGATGTATGAATTCAAAGTGGGTAAATATCTTTCTGTTAGTAGCAGTCAGGAGTGAGGATCCTTTCGTGAAATGATGTGTAAGAACGTCATCCATTTTGGCAGAATATGGTAATTTAGCCTATGGTTTCAGGATTTTCCTACAACACTGGCCAACTTGGGGAAGGCCTGACCATTCTGTTGCCACTCTTGTGAGAGACCAATTACTAAGATGGTCATAGAGGAAGGATGGATTAGCAATAAGCTAACCAGTACATATCAAGAACAGCAGTGTGACCATTCCAGGCCATTTATCCAATCAGTCAGAGCTACAGGTCACTGACACACAAGGAGTGTTTGCTGCATATTTATTTTAAAGAAAGAGACCCTTTGAACTCAGCTCTTGAAATAATTAGTCTATGTGTTGTAGCTATGTCATGCCATAAAGTGCAGCTTTCACAAGTCACATTGTTTACATTACTTTAACTGTACAGACTTATGGAAAAATTCATGCAAACTTAATTTTCACACTGTTATAGAATTGTTTACAATTCTGTTTGCTTATGCACTTGCCAAAAAATGTATTTTTATTAATTATCTTAATAAATATTTTCCTACTATGTAAGTGAGGTGTGATGTTATTCTTTCTTTGTAAATGTATAATGCATAATCGGGATACAATGATGGGAAATAAAAACAGTGGGCATGAACCCTTGAAAAAACTCCAATTTGTGCACACCTATCATATATATGGTAAGGTTAAATCTACTTCTCTAACTTTTTGACCTTTAAGGTCTACAAGTGGAAGGAGGAAACTCATTAAAGTGGAACTTAAAACACCAGTATGAAGACATACAATACTTTAGTAGAAAAACCACCAGTACATATATCAAAAGCAACTTATTAACAAAACAATTGTGAATGTAAAATAAAATTATCTTTTAAAATCAGGATACCGTATGTTGTCTTACTTTGTTCTGCTTTATTTATGTATTTCAAAAAGGTGCAGCATAGGAGGATGGATTGCTGCAGGGGCTTTATTAGGTAACATGGTCATATCACTGATGACACTGAGAGGAGATTTGCTCTGTCAAACATTCAGTAGGCATGACAGGGATATATTGTGCTTCCAATCATCCTCTGTGTGGTTGCCATTTGTTCCCTTGTTGGATTTGGTTTGGGGAACTTCAGCTGCCATTATAATGTGCTGGACTTCTGGTGTGTCCCTGTGCCACACCAGAAGTGTTCCTTAGGAGGAATGGGCTGCCTCCCGGTGAACCTGCACCCAATTCATCCTTTGCTATATATGCTGCAAGATGGAGATGCTTATAAATTACAGTTAGGACCACACTACACAGCTGGCCCTTGACGAGACAGTGTGGCTTCCACATATTTTGCAAAAGTTGTGCAACTAAATCCTCTGTTTCCAACCCGAATAGACAGTGCAATTAGTTTTTTGTTTGTAATGTGTAGTACTAATTTGAGAAAACAGTTTGAAATATCACTATAATCCAATTATTTCACATTTTTTTCTAGGGATATCAACAAATTTGTCCAGGCATTTTAGGATATCTTTGCACATAAGCAATTTATCTCTTTTTACACTTTATTCGCTTGGTTATACATGAGAGACTTTATTTTAATTCCATCACTTTTCAGAAGGATATATAATAAAAATAAAATCTGTTTTGTTTTCTCTCAAAACCAGTGATATTTGTAGAATAAAGTGCTACTTTTTTTTTTATAGGATATGTCTCTTTTATCTTGACACTAAAATGCATGGCAAAGTTCATTACAAATGAAATTAAACACGGAAAATGAACAAAAACATTTTTGAACAAACAACTTAAAAAAGCTAGTTATCTAAGGACAGAAGGGAGAGGATGGAGTTGAGACTGATAGAAAAGGCACATTAACCACCTCTGTAAACATTAATACACTTTTGTATTA